TGAAAAAAGGAGGAGAGTTTCTTTTGGAGCCCCTCTGAGACCCGAATTATTTGATGGAAATTTACCTCCCAATACACCTCTTGAAAAAGGAGAAAGCCCAGAGACGAGCAAAACAGCATCCACAACCTGGGTCCCGAGAAACTCAATGATGAAGGTACAATATTTTAGACAAGCATTTAATCTGTCTGTAGTTGAAATTATGCATTTCTCTATGATCCATACCCTAACTGCATTTTTAACAAGTACTGGTATATATTATCCTATCTTCAAAAATGATTTCCTACGAAATATCTTTTCAAATGGAGAGAGTTCAGTTATTTGTTGTTATGTTGGCTTCTCATACACTAGGGACTCAAAGTATTCCAGCCTGTAAGGGGAGCATCATGTCTTGATAGAGAACATGCGTGAACACGCTTGAGTGCCCTGAGTTTCTCTAGGTCTGCTATGGTTATTGCAGTGTTTAAAAGAAAAGCTGAGACATAAAATCTCACTTAACATTTGCCATCATACATAGCATGTGATGCACAAAATAAGCAAAACCTTTTTTTGCCCATTATACACTCTGCCTTAATCAGACCCTAAAACTTGTAAGACCTCAGAGCATCAAAGGGAGGTGACGTGTACAGGGTAGGGCCCTCAGACTCTAAACATGTTCAGCTTCTGCTTTGTGCTGCTGCTATTCGTTTTATACTTAGGGGGGCAAGTCATATAGTCCCTATTTCCTAGGGTCATTGGGAAAAGAGAAAGTTCTTTGCTACCCTGACAAGTGCTGCTAGGTAAAGAAATGAATCCTTTGCCAAACAACACTCCTAACAGTATGCCCCTGTAGTTATGGTTGCTGCCACTGGGTGGTGGTAGACAGTACATCTGCAGCACTGAGCTCTAGTAGTGATGGAAAACTCCCTTCATGCTTTTCGAGCTGATGGCAGGGGTCCCATCTACAGCAAACCAGTGAACTTGCCAGCATTCCTAACAAGTGGCCAGACAGGCTTTGTCTGAGGACCTCATCTACCTCCAATTGCCTTGGGGAAGCAATCCTTTCCAACTTTGGGGTAGCGTAGCTTTTATTGGTAGGAAGGCAAGGCCTAAACTAACATTCTCAGGACCAATGGTGGCTGGCATCATTGTTATACAGAGACATACATGTTGCTATATCCGTCTCACTGCTACCTGGCAGCAGGGGGAGACTTTTGTCCCCAAAGCTCATTGAGCCTCGAGGGGTGCCTTTGCAGAGATCGTCTCTGGAGGATTAGCCCTCAGAGGGTTGTTGTCAGACTCAAATGAAATGTCTGTTACAGGCTTTTGATGCACCTTGGCCATATTCAGTCATTTATTAGGGAACCGTAGCACATCTTGTCATTTATAAACTGTATAAAAATGTCCACTGCAGCAGACGCATTCTAAACCACCAGAAAAAGAGCCTTCCCCCAGTGTAGTGGAAGGGATACCGCCATGTACAAAAGACCCACACCAACAGCTTCCTGCCATTCCTAATAAGAAGTCTGCACCGAGCAGGGATAACATCACCTTGTCAAAATTCGTGGAGGAGAGAACAACATCTATTCCCGAAATCCAGACCATCCAGCCCCACAAGACCCTGAGCACACCATCGGTCTGGAGGAGATCCTCCTCTGCAAGAAGAAGCCAGGTTTTGGATGCGCTACAGACGATTGACTCCAACAGAGGAGCACCAAAAGACAATCTCATGGGTATTTGAGCAGGGAATCATTTTCCGATGGTTTTTACAGGCAGGGGGCAGGCAGTCCCCTGGCTTCAAAGAGCTTAAGACATCAGTCTACCAACACAGGGAAGACGTAGGAGGAACAGTAAGAAGGCCAGTATATGGCTGGATCAGACAGTGCAGAGCTGTGTGCGGGGCTTGAGGTAAAAGGTGTAAATAAAACAAGGCTGGAAAAGCTAGTAATCTCATGGGAGTGATAGAAAGCTGCTTTTAGAGTTTGTCAGTAACAGGAAGGAGTGGAGACATGATGGGTAAGACTTGTGTGCTGGGGTTAGCCAAAATCACTTTGGCAACTACTGCAGGAAAGAGAAAAGGAGGGAAAACAGGAATTCGGCACTTGTTACAAATCAGTTTGCAGTGAGAGTAGGGGGGCAGCTTTTAGATACAGTATCTGGTGGTATTTGTGAGTGAAGAGAAAAGAGGAGTTTGACCTGATAGATGTGGGGAGAAGAGATAAATGGCAACATTTGGCTGGATGTATCAGCAAGAAAGTGGGGGAGAGAATGCCTTGAAGTGAGTTGGGTGACTAGAAATAGAGAAGATATCGGTGGTTAGGGAGGTTTGGTTTTCTCTTTGTTGATTGTTTTATCCAAAAAATGTTCATTTATGTTCTGTTTGAATGAATTTTATTTGTATTAATTGTTGGTTACTTTCCTTAACAGTTGTACACTCTTGGGCAGATGTGGTGAGATTAGGTACTAAAAAAACCACAAGCACACGTTGTTACAAAACATGGTCTTGAGAGAAGGATAATAAAAAAGCAGAAGAGATTAACCCCCAAGGTCAAGGTACATTACAGAAATGTGGAGATCATTTTTACGTGTGTGTGTGTGTGTGTGTGTGCGTGTTATACATATACATAATACATGTGTGTATATACATATATATCATCATGTGTATTACACATTTACATTTGTGTACTTAGGAATGTCATCTGAGCAAACATTAAGAAATACTGAATTTATTTTTGGAAATGTTTCTTTTTCCTTTACAGAAGAAGCCTGCAAACCACTCACAGAATCACTTTAGCACAAGCTTCGCAAACTCTCCCTGCACCCTAGTGATTGGCAGAGCTCATACTGAAAAAGTGACCGAGCCTGTATGGCCCTGTATGATGCTGAACAACTTTGTTTTAAACCCTAAGATGGATATGAATGAGGATTTAGCAGGTGAAAGAGTGTGCACAGAAGGCCATGAGAATGTCATGCAGTGTGTTTGTAGATGCACAATTTTAAAAGAGCTGATAGAAGTGCTCCCCAACTCCTTACAGAAGGGGGAGCGTGCATTCTTGAGAGGTCCTGGCCAATTGTTGTGGTCGGATCTGGTGGGATAGCCTATCTTTTCAGCTACAAACAAACCAGCCCCATGATAACTCTGAGTTGGCATAGTTATGCCTCTGGGCAGGGCTAGGCTGTATCTTGCGGTATATGGTCGGGAAGAATAAAGGTGGTTGTGAAGCAACAAGAGAAGCAGACAGACTGGCCTAAATGCCAGTCAAGAACTGAAAGCCAGTGGAAGGAAGCAGGAAAGGAGAGTTGAGTTTGCAGCCTAGGTTGGGGGCCTTGGACTTTGAAAAGAAATCATTATGCCTAATGAGCAGAGGGAGTCTGTTGCATTGTTTGAAGTAGGAATGAGAGTCAAGAGCTTGCATCTAGATTGATTGCATGCCCGGGATTTTGAGAAGAGATCTCTTTATGAATAGAATGGAAGGGGACTCTGTCCCATTGTTTTCTTGTTGGAAGAGGGTGGAATATGACTTTTTACTTTTAAAAAATACATATCTGTAATATATACAGTACATACGCATATATGATGTTCTATGTTTTTATTGCATACATTAATGTTACTTATTTTCTTCATTAATAGCATTACCAGGCATGTTTGAAACCCCCATCAAAAAGAAAACTGCAAATGTGTCTCCTGACATTGGTAGAGATTTACACAATTCTTCAGGAGATGAAGACTCTTTAGAACGTAGGTTACATGATGACTCTAGTGCTTGGTTTTTCTTTTTTTCTTCTGTGAAACTTTGGAATGGCAAGTTATGATTTGCCCTTGCCATGCCAGTAGAGGTTTCATGAGTTGCTATAGCTACCCTTCAACCCAAAGGGCTGGTCCCTCACTGAATCACAATGACATAACCTATCCATGTAGAATTTTTACTTTATGATGAATAAGGAGAGCTAACATCTAAACGTAGTTCAGACATTCTTGTGATGTGACAATTTAGACATTTCTTATAAGTTATACTTAGCAACTATACAAAGAATCTTTGACTTCAATCTCCCCCATCCAATTGCAAGTCTTGTCAGTTCTGTCTCCAAGGATAAAGGGATGTATCCCTTTTTTCCTACTACAGTGGCCAGCACTCTACTTCTAGGCCCTAATTGCCTCTAGCCCTTAACTGTTAAAATAACTTCCTAATTGGCCTCCTCTCCACAATCCTTCCCTTCACACAGTTTTCAACGTTATTTTCCTAAAGTGCAGATCCAACCCATAGTAATTAGTATGCCCAAGAATCTTTAGTTGGCTTCCTCATCCTTTAGGACTAAACGCAAACTCCCAAAACTCACTTTATTTCATATTGCTCTCCTTCATGTACTCTGTATTCCAACCAAACTAGCCATAACTTAAAGGTATATATGTCTATATATTATATTTACATGTAATGCAACATATCTATCTATATTTATGTGTCTATGTATCTATCTAGTTATATCTAGATATATATATTTTTAACCTGGATAGGCACAGATCTGCAGATTTGCATCATCTTACTAAATATTATTGTCATTGGCCAGGAAAACACAAGACTACAAAATAATAATTTGGGTAGATGACCCGGGCCGGGCCCTTCAGGTACGTCTCCTTCCCTGGGAGCTGGGCTTCGGACGTCTCCGGACCCACCCTGGGGGAAAGGTGGGCTCAAGGACCAGACAGGACGCGAGTGTGGTGTATGCTCTTTATTGTGGAGGATCCCCCCCCCGATCCTCCACAATAAAGAGCATACACCACACTCGCGTTCTCAGCCCGTTATATAATCTGAGGGCGGGTCATGAAGGCTACAAGGATCCACCCCGAAGGCGGTGCCAACAACCCATTAGCGGAGCCTCCCCAGCACCTCATCCAGGATTGCTACGAAGCTCACTGCTGAGCCCGCAAGCTATCCCAGAAGAGGCGGGTCCCAACTCCTGGGGTGTCACCTCTCCATTCAGGTGTCCCCTGCCAGCCCCCAATCACCTTTACCTCTCCATTCCGACATCTCTTGCCAGCCCCCAACAGGTAGACCTTTAATTCATAAAGAAGAATTGGTCCCCAGACTAGTGAGTGGAGGCATAGTCTTTGTTTCATAATTATCTTTATTCTGTCATTTATTACAGCAGAGAAACTGATACGTACTATTCCTAACACAGTGGAACAGCTATATGGCCAGAGCATGATATGCTGCCCTGCAAATGAAATCATTCAAACCCTAAAGAAGATCCCTGAAATTGGAAGTGGTGAAATAACAAAGATGCCACTTCAAGAAGTCGAGGTAGACCCCAAAATATTAACACCCAATATTTCACTTTTGAAAAACACTTGTACATCAAAGGAAAATAGATCAACACCACATCTTAGCAGAATTAAAAAAACAGCAGCACTAGATCAAAAAGTTACATACGTGGAAGAAAAATTTGAAAGTGGAAATGTGGAAGATCTGACCACCAGGAGACTGATAAGAACGCCTAAGGAAAGGGAAGAACATTTAATAGAAGACGTGAAAGTTGTCAAGAAGTCTGGTAAAAAGAAAAAATGTGATCCAGAATACTCAATGAGTATTGAGAAGTTATATGAAATACCCAAAATAGAACTAATAGAAAACACACCAAGCAGCCTAGGGAAACTTAGAGGAGAACCCAAAAAAGTAGAAGAGCTTCCAGGTCATAGGAATATGACAGTTCATAAGGAAAAGGCAAAAGCAGGAGAAAACTTTTTTAGGAGGTTTTTAGGAGGTGTTAGGAGAGTTTTCAAAACATCAAAAGTAAAACCAGAAGATCTAAAGAGATTCAAACTGATGGAGAATGCTAGACCTAAAACTGATACTGATGAAAAAACAAAAGTTAGTGATTCAGTTAGTGAAATAACATCTCACACACAACGAAATGAAAAGAAGGCACCAAAGGTCTTAAAAGAAATGAAATTGAAAAAAAGAATTGAGAATAAAGGAATGATGGTGTTTCGTTCTAGGAATAAAAAGGAAATATTTCCTAGGCAGTCAGATATGACATTCTGAAATAGTGAAAAGGAACCTTTTAAGAATTTTCCAGGTTTGTTAAAGAGTCAAAAGGCAATACTGCACCCTAGAAACAGAAATAAACCTATGGAGCAAGTAAATTTGAGTTTGAGTGAAATCAATGAGTTACACACAGAAAATGAACAAAAAAGTATCAAAAATTTGCAGGGGAAGACCATTGTGACTGAAGATGGACTGGCTTCAAGAAAGAGAAGCAAGTTAAATTTGAAAAAGAAGATATGCATAGAGAGTAAGGAAAAGACACCACCTAAGAGTTTCACAGTTCATGAAAAGGTGGAATGTTTAACATCTAGCAACATACTTAAGTCTGCTAAGGAACCACAAGAGCCCAATTTAGGTTTACCAACTGAACTATGTAAGACAGAGAATGAGGAGAAGAAACTTAAAGATGCAAGTGCCAATATAGGGATGATGACTTCGAAAACCAGAGGCAAAAATAAAGTAGATACATTGTCCAAGGAAACAAAGAAACTGCACAAGAGCTTCCCGGAGAAGTTTATGTCATCAAGATCACATAAAAAGGAAACAGAAACTCAAGAGAGGATATATATGGAGTGTCTAGGGAAGAGTCTCCTGGAGAAGAAAGGCAGTGAGAGTCCATGTCACAGGTCTTGACCATCTAGAAGTAGGGGCATTAGATTACTCCATGCTGCCAGGGTGGCACCTGAAACAAAGGTAGAAGAGCCAAAGAAGCCTGCGAAAGTTCGTAAGACTGGATTAAAGTCTAGTGGCAAAAAGAAAAAGAATAGAGGCCTGAAAGGATCTAATGCTGTATTAACATCTAGGAACATAGAAAAGGATGGCAAATGCACAGGTATTTGCCCGGATATCTTTCAAAGTTCATTGGTACCTCAAGGAATTTTATGTTTAACTAGAAACAGAAACAAACAACCTCAAGACATTCATCGGATACCTAGTCTAAAAAAGATCATTGAAAAGCAGCTTCCAAGCCTGGAAAATAAAGCCCAGGATAGAGTGCAAGAATCCTTTAGAATTGGAAGCCGAAATGGAACTGACAAAGAAATCTATAGTACTCCTTTGCTGAGGGCCATGGAGATAGCTTGCGCTGAGAACAAAAATAGAGCTATGACTGAACACCAGTTACATTGCAGATCTGACCAGAAGAAGCAGACACAATGCAGAACAGACAGGATTTAATCTTTTGTCAAAGGACATCTTACCTTTGGGTAAGGTTGGAAAAGCAACTGTTCTCCAGATTCTTCCTAACAACGAGAAAGCAGGCAATACAGATCTGCAAAGATCTGCTAATCTTAGCAAAGATGACCCCTCCACCACAGCAGGAGAATCAACCCCAGAAAAAGTCTCAAATTGGAAGAAAACTTTTTACACTACTCTTTTCAGAAAGAGAATAAAATCAAAGACACCTAGCAGTATACTGTTCGAGCCAATTGATGTTGGAAAGTATAGCCCAGAGAGTCGTCTCCTAAAATCTGTCCCACCGGTCGGTGACAATTTAAAAGAAATCCAGTCAGAGCCTTCTTTGCTTACAGAACCCAGCAGCAGTGCTGTGTTAGAAAATAACAAAAACCAGACTCAAGAAAAGGTCACTGAGGAACCCATAAAATTAAGTAATGACCAGGAGTTTTTGAACTCATGGAAAACAGGAAAACACAACTTAAGCAGACCAGACCAGCTACCAAGTTCAAAAGAGGTATGATGTCACATTTTATGATGTTTCTTTTTAATGGGCATATCACATGTTTTGCTAAATTTCTCAATGGTTGAAGTTCAGCTCTCAGTAGTATATAAGATAATCTAAAAAGCATTTACATGACTTTGGAATGAAGTGATGTGTGTTTGCTCTCTAAGGCAATTTAAATAAAATATAATGCGAAACCCTTTTTTCTATACCAATCTTTACCTTATTCTGTGTTGAGAACACATATATGGTCAACTTTTCCAGAACAGATGAAACAGATCTTGTCTCTGTCTTGGGGCAGAGGAGTGCCTAAGTGTTTGGAATATGTTGAGCTTCCTCCCTAACCTAACAAAGCAAAAATTTTAAATGAGCACTGTAGGGCAGGGAGGTAACCAAGTTTGCTTTTAGTTTTGTTATTCTGAAACCAAAGTGAAGAGCAACGATTTGTTATGAATGGTAAAACATTGATTCTTTTAGGTACAGTATAATGCCTTGTTTATCCAAGTAGTATCAGATTTGGATAGTAGAAGCTAATTTTACAGATCACTGAACCCTCACTCTGTCCTTTAAGCACTAGCTTTTTTTATTTTGTTTTAACCACTTTAGATAGAAACCTTGCTAAAATCTATTACACACTTCTCTGCTTTCTAAAGCTGAGTATTCAAAATGTAATTTAACCTTTTCTTGATGAGTAGTAGTCATCATTATGAACATCAATTACTATGCTGTAATATAATGATATTTGCAGACCCACAATCATCCCAGGCTCTTCATTGTCAGCGATACCTTTTTCTTACTGTCATTTGCTTTCCTTCTCCCCTTTTCCCCCTCCCCCAACCTCCTTGGCAGCTATAGAAAACTATATAACTAACCTGTTACAATTGTGGGTAAAGTAAGCAGACTCTCTGGTCCCTCTGTCTTTAGGGTTCTCACACCTGTTCTAAAGAGTTGAAGGCCCCAGATGGATGAGATTGTTTTGCCCTAAACTATTTACATTTTAAAGCACCTATCCTGAAAGCCTTAATAAGCATCACTTAACTTTAATTTATAGTTACAATTCCCCAGGTATTCAAAAGGAACTTCCTCACCTTATTATTTAAATAATTGTTGTTGTTGTAAGAATAGTGAGGAATTTTCGTGTACTATTCCATAATCTTTCTTCTACCGATTATCTTACAGTCACACCGTAACTCAATTGATGGCCTTTGGGCCCTTACTTGCTTACAGAGGGAGGGCAGCTTATCTTGTGGTACGATCTTGGCACTTTGTTTGGCTGGTCCACAGGCCACCTCCACACACTGTTAAGTCCTTCACTGGGTCTAGATTCAGAACCTTTGAATTGAGTGAAACCTGGCCCAGTTTGTGGCACAGAGATGACTTTCCAGAGCCCTCTGGTCACTGTAGTAGGATTAAAGCAGAGGGAAACCAGACTCTTCAATTGACCTAATATTAGAATATAGCACATTTGTCAGAAATAAGAATTCAAGTGAATGTTGCATTATCTTGAATTTCACGATGAAAAGTGTAACTTAGGCCTCTCATCATATGAATTTGGACATTCTGTGCGTGTGAATTTGTTTCTATATTTTATCCATTTTGACCCAGTGTAGGATTCTTTAGTTGAAAGCCAATGCTTTTTTGAATTTAGCATTTCCTTCAGCCATTTCAAAAATGATATGAAGTTATATAAGTCCACATATCAACAAACTGAGAGGTTTACCCCAGTGTAGCTTGTGATCGATTATGTTAAATAAAATGTTTAAGTTAACTTGTGATTTGTCTTGCAGATCTTTCCTTTTTCATTGATTTGAAAAAAAAAAAAATATTAAACCTAAACTGAACAGGTTCTTGTAGAATTTTTGCAGAAAAGAAGACTAGCATATGGGATCTAATAGGAAATTGGGTTTCAGGTACTGTGGTTAGATAATGGGATATTGCTCTAGTGTTTCTAAATAACTTTGTAATTGGAAATGCCATTACATCTGTCTGCTGTGAATCCATATGTATACAAGATAAATTATTTACATATGTCTATCTTGTGTTCTTTGTTCCAAATCCAGGCAACAAAGAAAGTGAAGACAGCAAAAATGATGGTCATCTTAAAATAGTAAAATATAATTTTAAGGCATATAATTTTAAGTGAATATAATAAAATAGTTTGATTGTCACAAAATTTCAAGTTATTTTGTAAATGGGGCAGTGAATGACAATGTTCAAGGCAATGAACATTCGTTTTTTGTTTGGGGTTTTCTTTTTAGCAAATGTAAACTTCTTTTCATTAAATGTTTTTCTTCATAACCTAAAAACTTTTTGTGTGAATTCACTGAATTTACTTACTCATGGTTTTGTGGTAAATAAATTATACACAGAATGTATACACATGCATTTTTATGGCAGTCCCAATGTTTCTCCACCCCTTGCAATGATTATTTTATGAAACATAATCTATCTTATCTTGTTTCATTTGTTTTCTCTCTACCAAACGGCAAAAACTGTTGGGGGGGGAAGTTGTTTTTTTTTTCCAAACACTGGCTTTTTCAGATTTCACTGTAGTAAGTTTTGTTTAGACAGTGTCCAATTTTGAAAATTCTAGAATGTCGACAACACGTGGGCCTGCCATTTGAAACTCAGAGATTCGACCTTGTTCCAACTCTTTTAAGGCCTAACTTGGCTCATTTGGCTGTTGGATATTTGAAGGCTTAATGTAGCAGTATTCATAAGCAAAAACTGCTTTGGGAGGGGAGAAGGGGAGGAGTTTCCATTTTCACAGAAGCCAGCCTTGGGCAAGATTCTTATGATTATAGAGGATTGTATGGGATATGAAATTAAAGGCTTGAATAGAAAAAAGGTAGATTACTGGTACCTTGAGCCATCCCAAAGACTGTAGCAGGGTTCTTGTGGATGTTGACTGACTGACTGCATCTTTCCAGTGAAAGGCGGGAGGAATAATGGCTTCTTACCCTGGAATCAGAATGCTCAATCCTTCATTTTATCATAGAAGTGTATCTTCTTCTCATCATGCCTTTTGGAACCACAGAGTAACAGAAGAACCCAGGTTTATCTTGAGCGTATTATTGAGCGTACGTAACTAAAGCCAGTCAATCAACTTGTGCCAGGGATTGCTTAGCCCTGGGAACTTAAAATTTGGAGGCCAAAGTCTGGCCCTGCCTACAAGGAGCTCCCAGTCTAAATGACTGGAATTTAGTTGAAGCCTAGGAGGCCAGTAGTGAGAGAGAACATTCCAGGTATGTGGGGGTAGAGGGAGGAGACAGCAGGTACCCAGAGCTGAGATGGGCATTCAGAGAGGAAGGAAGGGTGTCCCCAAACCCCAGAAGAGAGTGATCTCTGTAGCGTCAACAGCTCCTGAGAGGTCAAGGAGAATGAGGCTTGTGAAAGGCCCAGTTATTCCCCTATCTCTGCATACCTACAGAAATATCTTGTCTCTCAAATCGTCTACTTTTCCCCTCCTATGACATTCACAGATGCCTCATCCCTTCCCACATCATTTAAGCAGTGGTCCCAAGATCTATGTTCTAGGGCACTGCCGTATAGGGCGTTTGGGATACAAGGAATAATCCCAATATTTGAGGAGCTTACATGCTAATGGGGGATACGGGTGTGTAAAACTGCACATAGCGTAAATATAAAACTGATGATCCCATGGAAATGCATTCAAGGTCGTTTTAGAGGAATGGTACCAGCAGCTGGGGACTATCAGGAAAGGCTTCATGCCAAGATGGGAGGAATGAGGATAAGGGAGGTGGTGGGCAGTAAGCAGCAAGGCACACTTGTTTGGCTGACTTACCACGTGCTGGAGGGTCAGTAATGGCCAATGAGGTGGTGAAGGGTTTTAAAGCCTTAAAGAGTTTGTCTGTAACCCTAGATGTTAATAGGTGACCACTGTAGTAGGGGACGTAAAGGAGTCACATCAGGTCTGTGCATAAGAAAAAATACTTTTGGAGAAATTTATACAATGACAACACAGGAAACCACTTGAAAAGTCTTTATAACCAGTGATAAACTGAGAGAACACAGGTAAAACTGGCCACTCACCTGACAGATGATGAACTTATGGGGTGCTAGAGGGCACCATAGTGCACAGTGCAGGGCTTGGAGTCAGGAAAACTCCCCTTCCTGAGGTCCAAATCTGGCCTGAGACACTAGCTGTGTGACCCTGGGCACTTAAAGTCACTTAACCCTGTTTGCCTCAGTTTCCTCATCTGTAAAATGGACATAAGAATGAAAGTCACCCTCAGGAAGAAGATCAAATGAAATCATATTGTGAGGTTCTTGGCACAGTGTCTGGCACATAGAAGGCTCTGGATAAATGCTTATTTTCTTCTTTCTTTCTGGTAACTCTTTCAAAAACAGCAAACAGAACTAGTCCGGGAGATATTTTGCTCTATTATGTTGGTTCCCTAGATCTCCTCACTGATCATAAGTAGTGATGACAACAGTAAAAACTGTTTCCTTTCATAGAGTATTTTGAAAGCATTGCACTTTTCAAAGTGGTTTTGCATTTATTATGTTATTAGACCATTAGAGCAATGCTGTGAAGAAGGTAGTTCGAGTATTCTTATTCCCTTTTTACAGATTAGGAAAAGTGTGATACAAAGAACTAAGTAATTTGTTTAAGGCAGAAAAGACAGATCCTGGACTCAAGACTCCTGGCTCCCAGCCCAGTGAATTTTGCTACTTACTTTGCTCTGGGTCTCTGAGTCTTCATCCCTAAAATTAGAGGATTAGATTAGATGTTCTCTAAGATCTTTTCCAGCTCTAAAAATGAAGACTCTACGAATGCTTTATGGAAAGACCATGGTCTTGTAGCCTCAAAGAAGAGACTATGACCATATTTATATAGAGAAGAAAAGATAGCCTTCTTCTTTAACCTTAAAATTAGCAGTAGAATGACTGTGAAATCACTCGCTTTGAAATTCAGGGATTTCAAGTATTTATTGGCATGTTTAGGACACTTATGAAGCTATTAAGAACTTGGAAAATGAAGACATTTTTCTCTTAGAGCAACAGAAAGATGGGCAGAAGAGCTGGGAAGAATGTCCACCTGATTTGCTTCACAAGGAAGAGCAAACGACTACAAGAGACCAATCCCCATTCACCCGGAACTTGCAAACTAAAAGTTCCCAGCCCCAGTACTAGAGTTTCATCAATCAACTTACTAGCTTTCTGAGCAACACCCTTAACACCATACCAAACACAGAGGAAGCTGTGATGGAAAGGATACAAGAAATCAGTACTAATGATTTGGATAGATGTGAGTATGTTGGCAGAAAAGTTGTCACTTAAGAATTGTCTGCTCATATGGTTTACATTCCTAATATAGAAAATGCTTGTGCCTCATTTCAAATTAAAAATCCGTTTCCATTGTTGAGATTTTGCAATAGTAAGGCAAGAGAAGGTGTAAAAAGTCTATGAAGTTAATTGTTCCATTTCTCATAGCAAAATATTTCCAGTTGTTAAAATCCAATAATGCTGCTTATATCACTTCAGAAGGAGATCTCCCAAACTCACTTGGAAGTATATCTAGTGAATATGTGATGGTTGTCAAACTCTTTCCCCCCCCAGAACTGATATAAAACCAAAAAGGTATCAATAAGGCTCATTTAAAAAGCGCAATCACTTGTTCAATTTCTGCAGAACAGTTTAACTAACAGCCTCATATAGAAAATTCATAATCCTGAAATCAGTGTAGTGAAAACTGTCTCTTCATCTCTTTGTCGACCTCCAGTTCACACAAATATTGATGTTTATCTTGGATTGAATATGTTTTGCAGAGGCCTTCCATAGAAGTCTTGTTTTTGCCTAGTAGTCTAGCTTTTTCTCGTTGGGCAAGTTTCTCTAGTGTCCTGAAAATTTAGTAGACTGTTACATTATTAAGTTTAAGCGGAAGTGTTTAATTTTCATATATGAGCCTCCCTTCTCTCCTCTCCATTTCAGCTGATGATATACACTGCAGATTTCCTGGGGGAAAAGTTCCCAGCATAATGAAATCCATATTTTGACTATAATACTTGGATTCACATGTTTGCTTGGAAAGGAAAGAGCAAACATGGGATATAGGGACAAATCTCACTTTTGTAGTTTCCTTGCAGAGAACTGATGTCCTTCAGTAAGAGATCCAGTTGCTAACTCATCAGGTGGAGCAGCTGCATCAGCTTTATCAAGAGGCTGTGTGTGACTCATCCCAACTGAAGAAAATCTTCTGGAGCAGAAGAAGTCCACGAAGCTTTCAGAAGGGAAAATTACCATTGATGACTTCTTTCAAGGGAGATGGGATTTAGACAAGTAGAAAGCAAGGCTCCAATTAAGTATATGGCAAAGAAAAATTAAGATTTTAAAATTATATCAATGGCCTCAATTTTAACCAATGTGCAATCTAAGAATGATTATCCAATGGGGAGAATCCAGATGTAATAACAACTAGATGGTTGAAGTATTTTTAAGCTGAGAGCATTACTGGTGAAGTGATGCCTTGGCCAATGAGAGCCCATCACTAGGAGCATGCACAGTACACTCTGGCTGATGTGTTTTCCTTCATGGATGTTTGGTGAGCCAGTTTCTGGGCATGCTCTGAAGAGGAAAGTAATGGCCAGTATTACTATTTTACTCTCGATGACTATTATCATTAATATTATTACTATAATCCCTATTACTCTCTAATAATTTATTACTCTTGTTATGAGAGGCCAAGCACACTGCACATGGTCCCTAAGGACTGGGCTCCCATTGGCCAGTCACATTACACTGGTACTGTTCTCCATGAGCTCAGAATCCAACTGGGAACACAGCATGCACATAACTAACATGGAGCCACTTTCAACAAAATAAAAAAAGGTACAGATCACCTACTTTACATGTTGTTGTTCATGTCGTTCATGACAGGCAGCACTCAGGAGGAGATCTACATCTGGTACCTAGCTCCATCCACTGGTTTTTGGGTGACCTTGAATAAACAGCTTCAACTCTTAGGGTTTGGTTAGTCATCTATACAGTGAGGATGGTAAGACCTAACCACTGGGATCGTAGTGAGGCTCAAACGAGTCAATGGATCTTAAATGCTTTGTGAACCTCTGAGTGCCAGAACGTATTAAATATCATCATTTTATAATAGGTTAACTCTTCATGCAAAATAAGCAGCCATACTTATCATTGGCTCCAGGACAATATTTTAATCTTGAATATCATTCCAAAGCAGAATGAGTCATGAGTTGTGTAGATGAAAGTTGCAAGCAGAAGAACCCAATGGAAATATTCAAAGGCAGACTTTTAATAATTGTCTTGCATTCCCTTACTGTTTCTGGAAAGCAGAATCGGTCTGCTTTTCAATTAGGCCAATTCTGGGAATTAGTCTGAAGGCAATTTTATTTCCCAAATGGTCTTCAAATACTTTACATTTAGGAAAGCTGCCACCGGTTGTGACAAGAGCTGTAATGATGAGTTTTTGCTGTGAGAGAAGTATTGCAAAAGCACCCTGAGATATTACTGGAGAGGTTGCCATGAGATTAAGGAGTGAACAAGGAAAAGCTCAGGGGGAAGGGCGCCTGCATTTGGTGAAAGATGAATAGTTAGGACCTGAGTTCAAATCCAGCCTCTGACCAAACACTTGACACTTACTAGCTGTGTGACCCTGGGCAAGTCACTTAATCCCAATTGCCTAAAAACAAAAAAAGATGAACAGTTAATTAATTATGCTGGCTAATTGAGTGCTACACTCAGGTGTTTCCATGCTTCTGAAGGATTGGAAGGGCTTAATAGGAGAGAGGTAGGAATAAGCATTTATTAAGCACCTACCATGTGCTAAGCATTGTACTAAGCACTGTTTCCAAATATTATCTAATCTGGTTTTTACATTTTGCAGTTGAGGAAACTCAGGCAAACATAGGTTACAGTGACTTACCCAGAATCCCTCGGTAAGTGTCTGACCTAGATTTGAACTGAGGTCTTCCTGACTTCAGGCCCAGTGCTCTATCCCCTGGGCCACCAGCTGCCTCCAAATGTAATGGCCATAAAATGGTGGTACATGGGATAAAACCCTGATCACCTCACAGTCATCTTGGCTCTTTCTCAGGCTGTGGCAACAGTGTGGAATAGGCCAGCAGAAACTGTACAGGCAGGGAAGGGCTGTTGTCAGTGTGTGTGTGGGCATTGCCGGGCAAGGTTGCTTTATTGTCTGCCACTCAAAGAACAGGTTCCCAAGAAACAAAAAATCCCAAATCTGAATGGCAGCTCCAGTTTCTTATACTTCTTCTAGTCTCTCTCCTTTACCCCACAATGGCAAGTGAAGGGATTTTCTTAAGCATCATTTAGTCCCTCACGGTCACTGAAAGAATTCTATAACTGATCTTCATTGACTAAGATTTGCTTTTCCCCTGGGCTATGGGCAGCTAGGTGGCAGAAGGACAGAGTGCTGGGCCTTGAATCAGGAAGATATGATCAGAAAGATCAGCTTCAGGTACTAGCTGTGTCACCCTGGGCAAATCACTTACTCCTGTTTGCCTCAGTTTCTTCATCTGTAAAATGAGTTGCAGAAGGAAATGACAAACCGCTCTAGTGCCTTTGCCACGAAATCCCCAAATGGGGTCCTGAAGAATTAGAAACGACCAAACAACAGTCAAAATATCTCTTTATTGTTATTTTAAAAATATCAGCTAAACTAATGTTCTTTTCCTCTGCTAGATTCCAAACCCAGTTGTAAGTTGATATAAATTCAGGGGAATAGTGAATAAAACCTCATTAAAAATGACTCCTCTTACTGGTAGGTGCATTGGGTAATTGATAGAGAATAAGCAGGAATTGGGGGGGGTGAGTAATTCAGACAGATTGCATTGTTAGCTATTTCCTATGCTCTGTAAATGAGAGCTTGAAATCAGTATCCCATTTAAGCTATATCTAATGGGGACTTTTGAAGAGAGAAGCAGTGTAGGAAAGATAAATGAGAAAGCATGATTCAGACTGCTGTGTTCAGACCTCCTGAAGGTGGTGCATGTAACAGTCCCTAGATGGTCTCAGAAATAGGACAGTTAAGCTGAAATAATAATAACTACTTCATATAGTACTTCAAGACTCGGAAAGCCCTTTTTTATATACATATATGTATGTTAAGTTATTCGGTCCTCACAACACCCTTTGAGGTAGGTGCTATT